AAGTTGGTGTAAAGTCAATTCTAAATATGTATGATTAATCAAATCTGACTATACGTTTTTATTTAGGTAATGGATTATGGTTTGTGGCAGCTTCAATGAATGAGGCTGATCAGCTCGTTAAAGAATATTTTAGGCAGAATAATATTTCATTACAAACCAATTATACTTTAAAACGAGTAAGGATATGAAGTATACAATCGGATTTTACTTTTTGTTACTAAGAAATTATAATAAATGACCTATTTGTATTACTAGGATGATGATGTATTGGATACTTGGTTTTCGTCGGCTTTATTACCTTTATCTGCTTTAAAATGGAATGGGGGTCATGAAATTCCTGTAAGTAACATATGTTACAAATTAAATTGGAATTTAATGAATTATCGATTAATGCTTGATATACTCTAATAGACGAATTATCCTACAACTATGATTGAAACAGGATTTGATATTTTGTTCTTTTGGGTATCTAGAATGACCATGCTCTGTACTTATTTTTCTGGAAAACCGCCTTTTAAAAATATTTTATTGCATGCAATGGTAAGAAAGTAAATTAGTTTATGAAATATTATATAATTATGATTTTTTTTCTAAAAAAAAAAAAAAAAAAATTGTAGGTTCGAGATTCACAGGGACGTAAAATGTCAAAATCACTTGGAAACGTAATAGATCCATTACATGTAATTTATGGTATAACATCAAAAGAAATGCAACAAAGTTTATGTGATAGTAACCTTACTAAAAGTGAGATAAGAAAGAGTGCTTCATCGTTATCTAAAGAATTTCCGGAAGGTATTAAGGCATGCGGAACCGATTCTTTGAGATTCAGTTTGGTATCGTATACCCAACAAGTAAGAGTTTGATGATTTATTTTTTCTAAAGTTTTGGTTAAATTTTTATTTTAATCTGATGATTTAAAAACTTATTTGAAATAGACACGACAAATTAATTTAGACATATCAAATGTTGTGTCATCAAGAAATTTTTGTAACAAAATATGGAATCTATTTAAGTTCGCACATGATAGATTTGACTCGTTGAATCATGTTGTATCGCTACACAAGACAGCATCGGCCTCCTCATTATGTGCATATACTGAACATTTATCACTAGTGGATAGATACATACTATCTAAAATGGCCAATACTATAGTATATGCCCATAATGGATTTCAAAAGATGGCGTTACATGAAGTAACTGATACTCTTCGAAATTTTATTGTCGGGAACTTGTGCGGCGTTTATTTGGAATTCGTTAAACCTGTTTTATATGGGAATCAAGGAGATGTCGATTATAAAGTACATTTCACTTTTTTTTATTTTATGTCTGGAATAGTTAACAAATTTTAAATATCTAGTATTTTTCACGTTTTATTAGGCGCAAAAAGCTGCGTTAAGAGTCTTTGAAATATGTTTGGATACTTCCTTAAGATTGCTTCATCCTTTTATGCCATTTATTACTGAGGTATGTATGTAATTAGTTTTTGTAAAAAGTAACTCATTTATTCCAATTAGTTTAATTTATAGGAATTATGGCAAAGTCTTTTAAATCGATCAGAGAATAAATTTTTACCAGAATCAATTATGTTGGCCGAATATCCAAAAATCGCGGACTTTAGTATGTGGCAAGATAGTAAAGTTGAACATGATATGCAGGTATAACGTGATGCTTTGATCTGACTTTTAAAGTATTTAGAAACTCAATATTTTTTTTTTTTTTTTTTCAGGTCGTTTTAAATATCATCCATGCTTCACGCTCTTTAAGACAAGAGAATAATATACCATCAAAATCTTTACCTTTTATAATATGGACAAGTGATCAAGAATTGATAAATGATCAAGGTCCAATCAAGAAGAATTTTAAAGATATACAAAAATTCATTAAGGCCTCTGAACTTAAAATTATTGATTCACAGGTAAGGTTATTCGTGATTTGTTAATTTTAACAACTTTTGATTAATATCCACTTGTTAATAATAGGATGATAGTTCGTTAAATAATTCGGCGGTTAGTTTCGTAACGTCAAACCTTAAAGTATACGTACCAATGTCCTCAATATATGAAATTTTCTTGAAGGAAAATAATATAAGTAAAGATGACAAATTAAAAGAATTGAATAAAAAGTTGGATAAAGTTATACTAGAGTTGGGTCTCTTGAAAAATCGAATGGAAAAACCTGAATACGAAAGTAAAGCCCCCGCAACTGCTAAAAAGATAGATAGGTATGTACCTTAACCTTTCTCCGATAAATTAAATAAATATTTTCGGATAAAATAATTTCATTGGAAATTAATTATTTTATTTTAATCTTTCATCTTTATTTTATTAGAATAAATTATGAAACCTTAACTGAAAAAAGGAATAAGATGCAAAAAAATATAGACTTATTAAAAGGCTTGAAAATTTAGGATAAAAAAAAATCAAAATGGATTTTAAATAAAAAAAGAAAAACAAGTTTTCTTTAAAATGAATTTATAGTTAAAAATATTTAGAAATAAATATTAATGAATCTAATTATGTATTTAATTTAATTAAATTCATATAAACTTTTTATTTTCTTTCAAACCAATATTTAATTAAGATTATTAAAAAAATTTTGTTATAATTAAACTTACTTGCAAATTTAAATGAAATTACAAGTTGCTGAATTTACATATCGTAAGGATTTGCATATCAAGTTAACGGACACTTCTATACACAAAATATAAAAGATTTTATAAAAAGTAATAGTGAACTTCTTTCAAGAGAAATTTTTACACGCCTTATTATTTGTGAAGAATTTGGTTTACTATTATTAAATAAAAACAGATCCATTTCTGATGAACACATTTTAGGTCAATGATGCATTTGAGTTTGTATAACAATAATAACAACTACTTAAAATAACTGATTAAGATGATATTATATTTGTTATTTAAATTAAAGAATAATTAAAGTGCGAAAATTAAAAAATACCAATAATCTATTAAATAACAATATAGGGTTAATGTCGATCTATTTTTAGAATCATTAATTTTAATTGGAAATAGCAAAATTTCTAAAGAAATTATATGAAGAGAAAATTTAAAATAAATTGGCCTTATGACAACCTAACATGCGCGTAAAAACGCGTAAATTTACTATCATACGTGTTTTTAGTTTATCAGGCAACGTTGCTAAATTTGGTAATTTTCAACATGTAGATCGTTATATATATACTTGGGTTTCAACAAAAAAACTTCCCAAACGTTCTCATTTTCTTTTCCTCCCCCTCTCGCGAACACAGTTTTTCGCAAACACATACTGTTTTTGTGTCCCCTTCTTCACCCCATTTATATAAAGAGTTCTGTACGTGGTTCCGGTTATGGGTTTTTCTTTTCAGCAGAGAACTTCGACCAGGAAGTAACTGGTTATCAAAACTCCAGAACAGATAACTGGTTACTCACGCCCAGAAGGACAGAACTGGGTATCAAACCGCCAAGAAGGAAAACTTGGGGCATGAAAGTGGGGTATAAAAAAATAAAATATAAAAAAAAAACAAAGGCTTTAGATAGAAACCAAAAGGCTCTCTCGGTTGAGGAGCTCCATTTTTTTTGGGTTGCGATAAGTACTGACGTCCTCGTCGTGCAACCTGGGTACTAGTATCATTAACTAGTAGCAAACAAGTACTTGTTATGTATTTCTTTTCAGTTTTAGGTTCAAGGTTTTGTTTTGAACACCGCGTTCTCTGTTTATAATTTTTAATGTATTTGTTTTATTAAAGCTTTAAGCTGTATTTATTCCAATAAATTTGTAAGATTTTTTACTTGGATATCTATTTTTTATTTACGTGTAATCCTCTAAACCTCTAAATGTGAGATAAAAATAATATTATGTGGTTTAATATAAATGTAACAACAACACGTGCCGTTAACCGAAACAGAGAAAATTAGTATTATATGGTTAACCAAATTCCAAATTTTAATTAACCATTAATTTCCCATCCATCCCTACGTGCAATATTCTTTACAGAAACTTTGTTTCCTTACTATTCAGTAACTGCATAGTACCTATTAGGCTGCGATTAAGCTACTTCTAAGTAAGGTAGTAACAATATATTTACTATTTAGTCACTTTGCAGTTACTGCGTATTAAGAAAACCAAGTTTCTGTAAAGTTCTTTGTAAACATTTTATTTTTTAAAAAAAAAAAATTATGCAATTATCGGATCACAACAAATTGCACGCACCATGAAAGTGATGAAATCTCTTGTGCCGAATACTTCTTATTTACGAAAAATAGGAAAGATCAATAGTTCAAATCGAACCCTACCCTTTAACCGATCCACAATCTTTAAATCAATTCTTCCTTAAAATTATGAAGTTCAGTACCATAAGACATTCAGAATAAGGCAAGATGCCAATCACATAACCGTAAATATTAAATACAGTCTAAAGACATTTTCAACATTTTCATGAATTATGCTAATTTTATTATGCTTTTATTTACAGTGTCAGTACAATGTGGTGGCTTTATCTCACCAAATATGAGTTCCCCGTCGGTGTCATCAATCTTTGTGAGGACCCGAAAGTCTGGTTTTTTACCATGGTTATGACCGTCTATCCTTGGAACTTTCGTCATTTGTTTAATAGTGAAATAAACTTACCAAACCAATGAAATAAATTTCGGTTTTATTGAATATTTCTTCAATAATTTGGTGACAGTATCGATGGATATACGTATCTTCGTCCAATTTTTTTATCATCATTATAACTCACCTCACAAAAGATAAATAGGTAAAACTGCAAAGAAAACAGAATAAATATTATTAATACCATTAACAAACATTCTCATCAAATTTAAAAGTTACAAATTTCTCGAAACCATTTGCACACAATCAAAGATGTCTTTGACTTCGTCTGTTAGCAATGTTTTCCCTTTGCCCAATTTCACGATTGTTTGTCACCTAAAAGCTAAACACACAAAACACAAAATTAATGCATTTAATAATGTCAAAGGTACTTATCCTTGGATTATTACTGAGTCAGCAACTGTTGGCGAGCTTCATTCCACGTTTTTTCAGTACATTTAAAATAATTGGTTTAAATTCATATGTAGACACCTGCAAGTAATTACATTAAATATTAAAGCCAGAATTCTGTAACTTTACATAGAAAATACTTACAAAATGATATCCTTTCTTTCGCATTTGATAAAGTCGGATTAATTTCCAATTTTTTGATTGATTCTGATTGAAACTTACGAAATCGATAGAAATATTATGTCCACCCTGTTTTACCCACCATACGCAGTATAAAAAATACCACAAAACGATATTGCTCAATGCTTACTTTATTTTCAAAAACATTATTTATGGCTACATTATCAATCGCGTGACTCCATGACAAGACGAACTTGAATAATATGAAGCAAATTAACTAATGTCAAAATTGTGACAATTATTTTTAAAAGATTATGTTATCATCAATTAATACTAACCTTATATTTCGTTGAATTTTCCCCTGACTGTGCTAGAAAAAGATTATCGTCGCCCCCACTTATTATCCCTACATCAGATTCATAGTGGTCTGACTTTAAGAGCAATGCAAATAAGAAACGTAATACAGCAAAATCAATTAAAATTTACATCAAGAATTTGCCGAAAAAAGAGATTGGTCTTCATCATCTTTTTTCTCAGCTGATCATCTACTACGCTTCGTTCTATTTTTCGTTCTGAAGTTCGTCTCCAATAATAGTTTTGATCTATACATCCAAAAGGTTAATTTTCGTATATATAACAAATTTAGGAAGGCCTTTAATCTTACTTTGGGTTAAAGATACATACAAGCCTCCTTTTGGTTGGTATAATGCCTGATTGTTCACGATTCTCGCAAGATTGTTTCTGTCCCTTACCAATCGGTACCCGTCACAAGATAAAAACGTGCTATTAACCTTCATATTTTCGTGTTTCATAATATTGCGACGCTTCATCCAAAATTATCGATTAGTCCGCTTTCTTAGATTCAACCTTATAAAAAAAATAAAATTTACGTATAAATAAGGGATTCCAAAAGCGCGTTTTTTCATTTTATGTTTAGCGGTTGACTCAACTATTGCCATAAGAGGTAGATCAAAGCGTGCACGAGAATATTAATTAAATCAAAACTATTTGTAGTCTTTATAATTCAGATTTGTTTTATCAAAATTTTTTAATCACTGAATTTGAAATAGTGTTAGGAATTTATACAGGGTATATTATAACATATTTTTAAATATTATATCGCTTAATAACGTTAATGATATTATATATAGCTTTGTATTTATTTACTTAAAAGAATAGCAAGCATTATATTACAGAATTTCTTATTTTTTAAATTTATTAAAGAGACATAGAGCCTGATCTTTGGCAAATACAGTATGTTTTCCTGTGTTTAATGAAAAATATTGTTTACATCTTTAAGAACGTACTTTTCCAATCCATTTTGTAAATCCCCTTATCAATTTGTAAAAAAACTTTGATTTTTTGAGATCCATTTTCATTTTGAACATGTTTTTAAATCCAATTTGTTAAGTAATCCTTCCACTTATCATTGGTAAACTAAAAAAATAAATTTGCGTTTTAACAAATATAGATATAAATGTAACTGTAAATTGCTAATACACAAAATTCATCAAATTTTTGTTAAATGTTAGCATTTTAAACTAATAAATTATATAATTCAAAATCATTAGAATTTAAATTATTCTAATCAGGTTATAATTCTTCTGCATATTTAACTTCTATTTCAGTTAGATCATTCATCTAAGACAATGTTTCTAAAAATTCTAATTCATTTATATAATATTAAATTAAACTCTTTTATAAAGTCTAATGTCTAATATTAAGACATTTTAACATTCTCTCCTAAATTACTATAAAGAATCACTATTTCAGATTTTTTAAGATCTTTAATATTTTATTTCTTATTATTTTATAAACTACTATAAGACTTATTTTCTTTGTTATATAATTAAAGTATAAGTTTTTTCATTTCTGAAAATAAGACTTTTTAAAATAACTAATTAATTTACTTTTTCTTTTATTTCTTTTGTCTATTTTGAATTTATACTTACTTAATAATTTATTATATCATAATCAATATCAAAATATTTTACTGTTTGATTATTTTTATAATTTTTTTACATAAAAATAAAATATAACTAATGTAATTTGATCTAAATATACAAGCTATTATAAAGAAATATTGTGTGATTTTTAATCAAAACTATTTAATTAGTATTAAAGGTTAAATTTAATTTTAAAAGAAATAAATAAACTTAAAAACATTAATACTCTCATTATATAAATATATTATTTAAAAATTGCTATATAAAATTGTAAGAAATTCTTTCAAGTAATTATTTTATTTATTAAAAATCTTAGATAAATTAATTAATAATCAAAATTAATTACAAAATATTAAACATTTTAAGCTTATCTCAAAAAAAATAATTTGTTAATCTAATAAATTTAAAAACTAACTATAAAATATTTAGAAAAAGATTATAAATTAAATACATAGTTGATAAATTTTATTAATTTAGTAAAGCAAGTTCAACAAAAAATATTATTATTAAAGTATTTATAATAATAATTCAATTCCTTTTTTTAAGTTAATTTCAGTTATTAAATAAGAAGTAAATTATATTAAAAAATTAAACAAATATGACTAATGCAGAAATTATTTATAAAATAGATAAATAAAAATATTTGAAAAAAATATAATAAAATAAAGTTTAAAAGATATAATGAGAATTATTAATTATATTAGAAAAGGAAAATCTTGATTTAATAGTAAACTTAAAGTTATTATAAGGAATGATAATAAAAAAATAATAGATTCTATCATATAAACTATATATATAAGCTTGTAATAATATTTTATTATAAAAAATTCTAAAAATATTTAAAATCATTTAATTATTATAAAATTTAATTAATAATATCTATTTTTGATAAAATCTTTAATTGTATTAGTTTTTCATATCAGATTTTTGTATTTTTAGTCTAAAGCATAAATGAAAATTATTAAATATTATATAACTTAATAAATTTAGCAGTCAGTCTGCCTACCTGTTGTTTGAGTTAATACAATTTTATTTATATTTATTATTTAGATTTTTAACAGATTCTGTTATCTAGTTTTAATCTATATGCAAAATTTGATATGCAATACAGTATAATTTTATAATTATTTATGAAATATATAGGAATAGTATTGAATGCATTTTAATATTTTGTCATATATAATAATTTTATTTCAATATATTTTCAAATCAATTATTTAATTTTTTTAAGAAAATGAACATATTCTAAATATCTTAAAAAAAAGTATTTATACTTAAATAATCACTTCAAAATAAGTTTATTAAAATTAACACAAAAAAATGATTTAATAAATATTTGAAAATAATTAAAAAAGATCAAATTAGTGAAAAATATATATTTATATTAACTCTTCTTAATCAAATTAATAAAATTTGTCAAATATTTAAAAAAAAAATTAGAAGACCTTATAAAAATAAAATTCAAATAATATGATTTATTGCTAATAAATATCATTGCTAATTTATATAATCAAATCATATAGGAAGTAAGTAATATTCTGCTAACTTCTAACGTAGATAATGTTTTTAGTGTAATATATAATAAGACTTTTATGTTTTTATATCTTTATCCCTTAAAGCGTAGATATAAATTAGCTATAAAACATTATAGAAAAATTATAATATTTTAATATCTAATGATTATAAAAAGATAAAATGAAGTTTATTAGATTTGTTATATTAAAATCTATCTAATAATAGTA